TATTTTATGCTGTGGCTGATGTCAGCTTTGATGGTGTCCAGCCACTGGGTTCTTTGGCAGCCTGGTTTCCTTTTACTGGTAACTCTTCCAAAAATAATTGCTTTCTCCAGTGAATTTTGCCTTACAGTGACATGTCTGGTGTTATGCACTCCAGTACTTCCTTGTTAGTCACCTTTGCTGTCCAAGGAATATGCAGGAGCCTTCTCCAGTTCCACAACTCTAAGGAGTCAATTTTCTTTCTATCTTGCTTTTTTAAAGTACAACTTTCACAACTATAAATAGCTATGCAGAATAGAATAGAGTGGACTAACCTATATTTGGTTTCCAGGCTGTTGTCTTTCATTGCTGTACAACCCTGTCCAATCCAACTGTTTATTTCTGAGCTGTATTCACACTTTGAGCAATCTGCAATCCTAGGAAAGTGAATTTTTCCATGTATTCTCTCTCCTCAATGTCAATTTCTATTTTGATGTTTCCATTCCTTGCAGTGTTCATGAGCTTGGTCTTTTTAATGTTCAGAAAGAGACCAAAATTCTTACTTCTTTGATTTTCTTGATCTGATTTTCCAGGGCTTCTTTGGTTTCTTAGAGAAGAATTGTATCACAGATTGTTGATGTTTCTTACTTATGTTTGACTTTGGATCACTGCGGATATGCTCCCTTCTTCATGGATGGCCAGTTCTATTTCTGCATTGCATTTTGTTAAATATGGCCCAGTGTTCAACTCTGTCAAGGTCTTTCTGAATCTTGAGTCTATCATCTAAAATGTTAGCTATTTCTCACATTTCGGTGCTATCTGCAGATATGATGGATTCCCCTTATATCCCCTCATCCAGGTCATTTATGAAGATATTGAAGTGTGTTGAGTCTTAGACAGAACCTTACGTCACTACATGTATAACGTTAGGACAACTATGAATTGTATGTTATTTCAAAATAACTATATTAAAACATGTGAAAATGGGAAAAAAGTACAAGTGTTATTGCTAGAAAGAATTGCTGTGATAAAAACGAATGTTCTGCCTAGTATACGGTTCGGTTTTAATAATTACTACCATTATTTATTATGCCTGAAGACTGACTCGTATATTTCTTTGGAAATTTGATGAAATGGCACTTTCAATCAAAGCATTTAACATTCTGTAAGCCAGGGAAAGGAGATATGATAATAAGGCCACATATTACATAAAAGAGTAATTTGGAAATAGGTTCAATGAGCCCTCTTTGTCAATGAGTTGTAATCTGTTTTTTCCAACACTTGTTCCAGGCAGGGACAAATGTTGCTCTCTCTCAGGCATTGAGCTGTTTCTTGGTAACTAGCAATGGGACAAGACCTAGCAACCTTTTTGAAGAAGTTAGGCTAGTTAAAGGTGGAGGACATTTCAGAGTTTCCTTCATCACTGCTGCCCTACATCATCTGTAGTCTGAGGTGTCTGCCTCTGTGTACACAAGAACTAAAGAAGGTTGATAGATAAATTATTACCGGTATATTATTTATTTAAGTTCATAGGCTGTAGGATTTTTTTCCCAGTTCTGTGCCTAAGTTGTATAAGCACTCTGTTTTTTCTCCAAGGAATTGGGGCAGAGGGCGAACAACTTCCATTCAAAAGCATCCAGGAGAGGAGAAAGACCCATAAGCCACAGTACTGAACATAGCTGCCCTAAACACAAAATCCAAAGCCAGGAAAATAACATCCTCTTTTACAAGGTGGCACTATTCAAGCATTAGAGAGGGCTCAACAGTTTCTCCATCTAGTAGTTTGTTGAAGATTTATATTGCCTTGTCCTTACAAAATGTTGCAATGTTAGGGGATTCAGAGACAATGGCTAACTTTATAGATTTTGCAATGGTTAAGAGATTACTATAGGAGAAGCAGTGGCACAGCTTGTCACAACAGGAATCAGCTTAGAGTAATTGTGTAGTCACAAATGGACTAAGTCCAACACCTCTTGAATTCCATTAACTCCTATTAGTGCTAAATTAGTGCTAAACATTAGTTGACTAGATTCCTGTGAATGGGCATGAGTAATAAATAATTTTATTTGGAAATTAATATGTGGCCTTGGTCTTTTGTGCCTGAAAATTTCATGCCTGGCAATAGATGGCCAGCTTTTGGAGGTGGGTCTGTTTACACAGATCCATAAGTAACTATTACTTACTAATCTTTTAACTCCCTATGTTGAGAAATCATTGCATTGCCCAGACTCTCCAACTTTGCTTCTGCAGTTGCACCTTCCATCACAATTTAAAAGAAAGTCACAAAATATTTGATTTCTAAAATTTTGGGTGAAGAATGTATTTCAGAAAGAAAGAAAGAAAGAAAGAAAGAAAGAAAGAAAGAAAGAAGTTTTGTATATAAATTTCCAAATGAATACAGGAATTGCATTGACTGATGAGCATTAGATTGGCTGGGATGGAACTAAGGTATTGATACTGACAATTAATGTCCCAACTGAGGACAAAGCAGTGTTTTATAAACAATCTATGAGGCAATATGTCTCAGATAAATATTAAAATAACTGAATTAATTATTTTTATTTTGATAGACAAGTTAGGGCTGATTGATGTATTTATGAAAATGAAAATTTTTCAGTTTTAATTGCTTAAATCAATTTATTGTATATGAAGTTTGACTTAAATATTTGTCAGAAAAATTGATAAAAAAAGGCTCATAGCACTTTCATGGTGTAAAAAAATGAAAGCAAATTACAGTAATTGAATACAGACTTCTAGCTATTTTCTCAGGAGAGCTGTGCAAAATATGGAGAATTGAAAAGGACTTGATTACTTCCCCAATCATCAAAATTACAAATCCCTTCTTTAGCTTATTAAGCTCAATTTTCAGAAAACCTAATAATAGGAGTGTTTTTTCCCATCTTCAAAATATAATTTGTTGACTAGTATATAGAGAGCTATCATTTGAAGCATTTCTGTTCTAATCTTCATTTCATCTTTCAAGCTGTTTTATCTCCATTTCATTCTTAATAGTTTCTGAATTTTTTTCTCTCTTTTTCTCTTCCCTTTCCTATTTCTTATTTTAATGTTCATAAATGGGAGGATGTGCTTTGTAAGATATACATTGACAAATTTTATCCAGGTGTACTAATTGCTCAAATCACTTTTAGATAAAGGAATTTATCTTTACCATGTGGAGAGATTATAGAAGAAAAATGAACAAACAGAAACTTTATTGCCTGTAAATATGGTTATCCATGCAGAAATTTATTAACTTAAAAGCAATGAGGAAATCATTCCACTTTTTTGTTCCAAACAAGAAATGAAGATAGCAGAATAGCTTCTGAAATATAAAACACTTTTTTTAAAAAGTGGCATTAGTTCAAAGCACATTAAAAAACTGAAAGCACACAGACAATCCAAAATTGAAATATGTTTGAAGAAAATATTCCAGTAGACTTGCACATGTTTTAGACGCCATGTATATAAGGATAATGAAAAATGATGCCATTAAGCTTATCCTGGAGATAGGATATGTTTCTGTATAGGAACAATTGTCAATAACAGGATGGGGGTGACAAGAATGATGCCCTTTGTATTCCTGTTTTGTATTACATGCAAATCATATGCTATTGATTGCAGCATACCTGATGACCCACTTCCTATACCCCATCAATTTCCTCAGCCAGGAAATGTTATTTTGGGGACAATTACTTCTCAAGCCTTTTTCTTTCACAACAGTCCCTCCTTCACAGAAGATCCCGCTCGGACATTGATCAATGAAGTGATGTAAGGAATTGTATTTTTCTCTTCAGACTAGTAAATGCAAAATAATTGGGGTGTGTGTGTGTGTGTGTGTGGAAATAGTAGGATTATAGTGGTAAGTGTTTTAAAATTTCCATACCCATAATGTCATTAGGAATTTTCTATGAATTAGTTTTCTCTTTTTTTTGAAGTGTAAAAAATTGGCTACTGTGTAGAAAACTCCATGTTGCTTTACACCCTGCATCGAATCCATATAAGATTCTTCTGATGTTCACTTGGTGATTCATAAAACATTTGTAATTTTTATGATAATTTGTCAGAAGATGAGGCTAATAATAGGACTGCTCCTAACCTAATTACAAAACACCATTGCTGAATACCATAGTATATAGAAAATACCATAGTATATTGCCTGTAAATATGGTTATCCATGCAGAATTTTATTTTTTTTAAAGCAATGATGAAATCATCCCACTTTTTCCTTCCAAGCAAGAAATGAAGATTGCAAAATAGCTTGTGAAATATAAATTTCAGAGTATAAATATAAAAATATACTTTACTAAAAGCTGCCAAGCTTTCGTTTGGAAACTCCAAATGAAAGCTTGGCAGCTTTTAGTAAAGTATATTTTTATATTTATACTCTCCTGGTGTTCGTATTTTATTTGTACCATAGACATGCCCAGGAGTCGTATTTTTATGCAAATTTTCCAATATATATATATATATATATATATATATATATATGCATTCTTTTTAAAATTTGCTTCCCAAGTAATAGTACATAATCAAAAAAAGAAACAAAGAAACAAAGGAAAAAAGTATGTAGGACAAAATATTAAACATACTCACAAAATGTTTTCCCCAATTAAATACGGACATATATTTTCAGCAACAATAATTGTTCCCACATGAACTTCTAAATTTATATTGGCAAAGTTATATAACATTAAAATATTATAAATATAATATAAATATATAATATATATAAATCTATTATTAATCTACCAATTTGATCTACCATCTATCTACTGTACAAAAACAATTAACAGGTAATCCCAACAACAGTAATTTTCAAAGCCCTCTGTTAACAATCCATTATGGTATTTTACTTGCAGAAAATTCACAAGTAACTTCTAATCTCTCAGCAATCCACCACAACTATCATTTCTGTTCAGGATCTAATACCATTGGTTGATTCTTAATAATAGAAAAAAACAACTCCTTCCAGTTTATCATCTTTACTTTTCTTTAACATTATAAGTGCTTCACAATCCCAAAGAATGTGGGACTCCATTGAAGATATTTCCATAGAACCTATTGTTCAGTAAATTTTCCTGAAAATTGGGACACAATGTCTCTCAACAATTGTCTTCTGGTTGTATGTAATGGCTCTATTCTGCAGACTCCATCAGTTTTCCTGATATGGTCCAGTTCATTAACGTCCCTTCAACCTGCTTAGCAAGTGTCTAGTTTTCAAAGAAAACTCCTTCTCTTTCAAATCCAATTAATTTCTAGTCCATCCAATTGCATGACTGATTTAACTATTGTTGCCTATATCTAGATGTCTTCTTTGGAATGATGTGAAATCATTAGGAATTCATCAAACATTATATCTAATTTTGTGTTAAAAACCTATAAGTAAGCAAGCATTGTTTTTTCAAAAGTTTCCAAGAAGACTTTAATGTTTAAAACATCTGAGTCCCATTTCTCTTTTATATCTCTTTTTGGGGGCATTATAGAGAATATGTAATATCAATAGTGTTCAAGGACAGAAAGAATAGATATTCATTAACAGAAGCAGCTGAGAGAATAATTCTCACAGTAGAGAGAGAGAGATAAAAAAGAGAAAGTTCCTGGTTTTTTTAGAATAAAAAGCAAGGATATATGAAAAAACAAAATGAAGCAAATGAGTTATTTTAAAAAGACTAATAAAATGCAAACTAGAGTAAAAATCAATATAAATCAGTTCAAGTCACTTTCACTGGAAAGAAAAATAATCCCTCATGCCACTGACTTCCTTGCACCAAATGAGAAAGTAATATAAAATGAAAGTTTACATTTGCAATCAAGCAAAGGGGTATAGAGCAAATCAGCATCCATCCAGGCTATTAACAATTAAACTTCAAAATATAAAAACAGAGCCATGTTTAATACAAACAACAGTTAGAAAAGATAAAGACTGAACTCTCTGGCTTCTTTTACTGAGAATCCAATCCTCTAGATTTCGCTTCTCATGGCAAATATGTAATCATCCAAAGGTCATCATGGGCAGTTCCTAGCTGCTCCCATTCAAATCTGGGGAGTGTGTTGTCAAAGAATTGGCTTTGGCAGCAAAATCAGTTGTTTGTTGGCAGGGAGAAAAAATTGCTTCACTGCTCAGCATGCCATTTTGTGGCACAAATATTATAGGTCTGAGTAAGAAGTACAAGTGAAGTATAGGATACACTTTTTATAATGTTTAATTACATTGATCATTTTTATTGCAGTTATGTGCCAAATGTGTATCAGCATATCCTTGCTTTGGTGTTTGCTGTCAAAGAGATCAATAAGAACCCTGAGCTCTTACCGAATATCACTTTGGGTTTCCACATTGTGAACAACTACTTCCCTGCAAAGATAACCTATAAGGCAATCCTGAGCTTACTTTCTACACAGCAGAAGTTTGTTCCGAACTTTACCTGTGATTTAAAGAAAACACTTATTGCTGCCATTGGAGGACGTATGACGGAAACTTCATTCACCATGGCCACAGTTCTTGCCAACTACAAGATTCCACAGGTAGATCCTTGAGATCTCTCACTAAAAATCCCAAGTTTTTTTTTAATTCCTTCCATTCTTAAAGTACATTTCAAAATTGAAGTTCACAGTGGAAAATCTAGGAGAATATCAATAGCACTTAGCTTTATATACCACTTCAATGTGCTTTACAGTCCTCTCTAAGTGGTTTACAGAGTCAGGATATTGCCCCCAACAATCTTGGTCCTCATTTTACCTACCTCAGAAGGAAGGAAGCTGAATCACCTTTCTGTATTGTACATTTAATTAGTGTAAATATAAATAAACTGTATGGATGATTATATATTTAGAAACCAAGAACTCTTTGCAGTTTCTGCCAAATATGGAAGATTAACTACCTCCTCTTGGCATTGAGTTTCAATGTGGTTCAAGTAAAAAAAAAATACTCTGTCTTTCTGTCTGTGTCTATAACAGATCATTCCAGACAAATCTTATTGCAATCTTTGACCAGGTGGAAAAATTAATGGACTAGAGGGATGCTGTGGATATAATTTACTTGGACTTCAGTAAGGCATTTGATAAAGTAGATCACAACCTACTATTTGATAAGGTAGAAAAATGTGGGCTAGACAGTATCATCACCAGATGGATTTGTAGCTGGCTGACTGGCTGTACTCAGCATGTGATCCTCAATGGAACTGCATCTACATGGATGGAAGTGTGTAGTGGGTGCCCCAGGCTCTGTTCTGGACCCAGTGTTCTTCAACATCTTCATCAATGATTTGAGTGAGGGGATAGATGGGGAGAGGAACTCATCAAATTTTCAGATGACACCAAGCTGGCAGGAATAGCCAACACTCCAGAAGATAGGCTTAAGATACAGAAGAATCTTGCCAGAGTTGAACTTTAGCTGCTATCTAACAAAAGGAATTTCAAAGGTGAAAAAAGTAAGGTTCTATATTTAGGCAAGCAAAACCAAATTTACAAGTATAGTATAGGTAGTATCTTGTTTAATAGTAACTGTGAGAGGGATCTCGGAGCCCTAGTGGACAATCACTTAAATATGAGCCAGCAATGTGCTGCAGCTGCCAAAAAAAGCCAACAGAGTGCTAGGCTGCATTAACAGAGGGATAGAATCAAGATTACGTGAAGTCTTAATACCACTTTACAATGCCTTGGTAAGGCCACAAGGTCCATTCCAACTTTTTTATTGTTATTGTTATTATTTCCTACATGCTGCTGGACTCCCTTCAGGTAGTCAAACTAGAAGTCTTTTGCATATCATATATGCTGACTTGTGATCTTGTACTGTGTCTTAAGTTTTTCCCCAATCAGTTAAAATGGGCTCAGAAACACATAGGCAACCCTTGTAACTGATATAATATTGCAAATATATGAACTGACTATATAATTTTCAGCAACACTTTAGTGCCAATATTTTTCCTTAGTTATGATAAAGATAAAAAACATTTCTTTATCTCACATAATGGTTCTGATTATTTGCTATATAATGCTTTTCAGCTGACCTTTGGAACATTTTCTCCAATACATGGTGAGAAAAATGTATTTCCATCTTTGTACCAGATGGTCCCAAATGAAATGCATCAATTCACTGGGGTTATTCGATTACTTCAGCATTTTAGATGGATATGGATTGGTATCTTGGCTGTGGATGATGACTATGGGGACATGTTTTTGCAGAAAATTGAACCGTTGCTTTCTGAAAACAGTATTTGTTACGCTTTCATACTTAGAACACCACCAAAGGCATATCTGGATGAATATATACAGTTGATTACAGTGGAGTTAAAATATGATCAACTCTTTAAAGAGGATAAAGTCAAAGTGTGTTTAATCTATGGACTGAGTCCAGCCATGGAAAATCTGAGAATGATTGTCTTTGTAGCATCTGTTTTTTCTTGGACTCCTTTGGGTAAAGTGTGGATTGTTACATCCCATTGGAATTTTGAATCATTGTCCATTCAGAGACTTTGGGATATACAGACTTTCCATGGTGCTATATCATTCACAGTTCGTTCAAAAGAACCACCTGGATTCCAAGAATTTCTTCAGACTATAAGGCCATCCTGGGCAAAAGAAGACAATTTTATTCAGAATTTTTGGGAACAGGCATTTGACTGCCCATTACACATTTCCAGTATAAATGAAGATAACCAGGTATTATGCACTGGGGATGAGAAGTTAGAGAGTCTGCCAAGTATATTATTTGAAATGAGCATGACTGGACACAGTTACAATGTTTATAATGCCGTCCATGTTATGGTACATTCTTTGCATGCCTTACTCAAGTCGAGATCCAGATGTAGAAATGCAATAGGAACAGAAGAAGTAATATTTCAGGATTTAAAACCATGGCAGGTATTTTATGGCTTGATTGTGCCATTATGTAATAAGAAAATTGTTACATATAAAGCTGCTAGGAATGATATTATATAGCACTGTTTTACCAATCAATTTTGTTGAATAAAAAGATTTCCTCTTGAAGAAAATAAAACCTTTTACATTAGTAGTTTTATTACAGGCATAATTCTTTCCTAATTAGGAAATGTAACTATGAAATGATGTTGTGGAAGTAGGAAAGAATGTTATATTAACCTTTATTTTTGTGTTATTTTGGAAGTTCAGAACGCAGAAAAGGTAAAAGCAAGAAACATTGCTTTCTAAAATTCGGTCTGAGTTGTCAATTATTGATGATCCATGTGTGCAATGAGTACTGGCCACTTTGTCATGGAATTGGAAAAGCATTATTTGAGTATCTATTGTGATGTGCATTCAGATTCTACATAGCCAAACATGCATGTTTTCTAATTTTTGAGTTAATTTCCTTCATGTTCCTGAAAATTCTTGCAGATATTTGTTATAACATCCATTACAATTTGTACAATATAAATCTCTGCCTTGAAGATAACACTACATTCAGTATTTTGAAAAAAAAAGGGGGGGGCTAACGTGTTAATGAGCCGAGAGAGGCTGTGATTATAAAATATGAAACATATATGATGACAACTAGTTTGGTGTGGTGGTTAAGACATTGGGCTAGAAATAGGAAGATGTTTCTTCTACTACTTATTAGGTACAAATCCAGCAAGTTATCTTAGGCCATCACTCTCTCTCAGTCCTAGAAAGGATGTAACGGGAAATCAATTCTGGACCTCTTGCGAAAAGAACTGCAGAGTCTTGTCCAGATAGCAGTTAACACTGACTTGAAGACACCCTCAGTCATTATTTGTGTTTTTCAGAGAAGAATAGTTCAGTTTGAAATAATTTTCTGTAGATGTTTGATTTCAAAGTCTTGCTGGTAATTTCTTTCATTTTTTGAAAATATAGTTTAACTCTTTCTTGAAAAGCATCGTATTCAACAACAGTATGGGAGACACTATTACATTTAATGAAAATAGAGAACTGATTACGGGTTTTGATGTTGCAAACTGGATTACCTTCCACAATAATTCCTTTTCTCGAGTCAAAGTTGGAACATTGGAACCTCGGGCTTCACCAGGCAGAGAATTAACTCTTAATGACAATCAAATTGTATGGCACAGAAGCTTTAACCAGGTGAGAAGAAGCTGCAGATTCTCAACTAATAACAAAAGTTTGGAGCAATTGTCAAATACATGGCAGTAATTAAAGAAAATGATGTCTTGGTTTCTTGGGGCTTTTCAAGCAGATGAGGTATATGCTTTTCTATATATGCAATTGAACACTGCTGCGTCTATGGCAGGTTTATTGCAAATGCTTATATTTGTGGTTGGGACACAAAAGTTGCCAATTTAATTACATATTTTGCTAGACCAGTGGTTCTCAATCTTTTTAATGCTGCGACCCCCAACCGGTTGTAAGTTGAGGACTACTCAACCGGTCGTAAGTCGAGGACTACTCAACTGGTGCAGCCCCGTTTGCAGAATGGGACTTTTGGCGGGCTCAGCAGGGCAGAGACAGCCTGGACAATTCCTATTGGCTTTTGAAAGCCCATAGAATTAGACTCTATTCAAGAGAGTCTATTCTATGGGCTTTCAAAAGCCAATAGAATAAAAGGGAGTAGCACAGCTAAGGAAAAGGGGAAAAAAATGGCGGACTGCATTATTTGGCGACCCCCGTGAAATGGTTGTTCGACCCCAAATGGGGTCCCGACCCACAGGTTGAGAACCACTGTCCTAGACTTATGACCAATGATTTAGAAACCTTCCAAATTTAAAAATGGACTGAAAAATAAAAAAAGCTATTCCTTGAAGATGCCACTTCCCTTGTTGTTGCATGATCACATTTTGGCACATAGCAAATGGTTCAGATTTATGAACAGTTGCAGTTTCCCATGGTCACATGACCATGATTTGAAGAGTTTTTAGTTAGTTTCCAGCAAAAAATGCCCATTTGGCAGATTTTACTGCCATTGTAAAAATGGTTGCAAAATTGAAATTTTCACAGTGTCCTGGCTTCCAAGAGCAACACCTTATGACTGAAATTCTCCACCCCATTGTGGTTGTAAGTGTAGTGCCATGTTCTGATTTTAAATATTCTGGGTGAAAAAAACTTGGAAAAAGTATTAAGTAAAGAATTCATTAGGAGTAATCTGAACACCTGTAAGATCCTGTGAAAACATAACTTTTTGCCATTCCTCTGCTAGAACAACAAAAAGAAGTCAGTGCCAATTCCTTCCCATTAATTCAAGTTTCCTCATTTTCATTTTCTTCTTCTTCTTCATCCTGGTTGTGGGTTCATGTTTGGGAAAGCTCTATTAATGCAAATATTTTAACCTCTGATACTCTCATACATATTTCAGGGTCTTCCTATTTCTTTGTGTAATGACCACTGCTCTCCAGGCTCCAGGAGAAAGAAGAAGGAAGGAGAGAAATTTTGTTGCTATGATTGTGTGCCATGTTCAGAAGGACAGATCTCTGCTGAAACAAGTAGGAAAAAAGATATGAGGACTTTGGCTAACTGGCCAGCAAAAATTCAATCCAGTGCTCTGATTTATTTAAGGAGGACCACATGAACAACAGTAAAAACAAAACAAGAAAAAGATGCCTGCATAATATTGTCTCTCCTCTGTCTGTCTGTCTGTCTGTCTGTCTGTCTGTCTGTCTCTCTCTCTCTCTCTCTCCCCCCCCGCCTTGCTTTCTCATTCATTACCGTCTCATACATGTATATATGCAATTAAAATTTTAAACAAAAGATTTTTATGATGACATATTGCGGTGTAATCAGCAGGACATAAATGAATTTGAAAGGAATTCATTCCTAGGCCAAGGCAACACTAAGTTATAAATCAGTGGTTCTCAACCTGTAGGTCGGGACCCCATTTGGGGTCGAACGACCATTTCACGGGGGTCGCCAAACAACACAGTCCGCCATTTTTTCCCCTTTTCCTTAGCTGTGCTACTCCCTTTTATTCTATTGGCTTTTGAAAGCCAATAGAATAGACTCTCTTGAATATAGTCTAATTCTATTGGATTTCAAAAGCCAATAGGAATTGTCCAGGCTGTCTCTGCCCTGCTGAGCCCGCCAAAAGTCCCATTCTGCAAACGGTGCTGCACCAGTTGAGTAGTCCTCGACTTACGACTGGTTGAGTAGTCCTCAACTTACAACCGGTTGGGGGTTGCGGCATTAAAAAGGTTGAGAACCACTATTATAAATGAACTGAGTAATTTGGACTATACATTTTTGCTATACAGCAAAAACAAAGCAAGATAAGTAAAAGACTCATCCTCATAATATTCTCTCTTTTCTCGCTTTGTCTCTCTCTACCTTGTTCTGTCATTTATCTCCTTCTCATTCATGTTGTACTCAACTTACAATAGTTCATTTAGTGATTGTTTAAAGTTACAATGGCATTGAAAATGGGAGTATGATTATTTTTAACATAACTGATTCATATTTATGACAGTTAGGATGTCCTGGGGTCATATGATCAATTTTGTGTCGTTCTGACAAGCAAAATCATTAGAGAAGCCAGACTTAACAACTTAACAACTGCAGTGATTCTCTTAACAAGAAAGGGTGTAAAATTGGGCAAAATTAACTTAACAATTGTCTCACTTAGAACAAAAAATTGGGGGTCAATTGTGGTCAAAAATTGAGGACTACTTGTATATGTGAGGACTTTAGCTAAATGACCAGCAAAAATCCAGTCCAATGTCCAGATTTATTTAAGGAGAACTATATGAACAACAGCAAAAATAAAGCAAGACCAGTAAAAGACACCCCTCATAATATTCTCTCTTGTCTCGCTCTGTTTCTCTCTGTCTTGCTCTTTCATATATCTCCTTCTCATGCACTTATAAAGATAGTCCTCAACTTACAGTACTTACTTCATTCAGTTATTGTTTGGCATTGAAAAAAGGGAATATGACTATTTTTAATACAACTGACTCATATTTATGAGGTTTGGGATGTCCTGGGGTCATGGGACATTTGTGTCCCTCTGACTTCTGATAAGCAAAGTCAACAGAGAAGCCAGATTTACTTAATAACCATGTTACTAACTTAACAACTGCAGTGATTCATTTAACAACTATGGCAAAAAAGATTGTAAAATGGAGCAAAACTAACTTAACAATTGTCTCACTTAGCAACAGAAATTTGGGGTAAATTGTGGTTTTAAGTTGAGGACTACTTGTATATATTATTACAATTTTAAACAAAAGATTTTTTATAATATTGTAGTGTAATCAGCAGTCCTTCCACTACTAAAGGATTAATCTCTAATCAAAAAGAAGAGCATATGGAACTGATTTCCATTGTTCAGCTATCACTTTCCATTTAATGGAATTGTAATTCAAAAAATATGTACAACTGAAAATATTCAGTTCCATCTTATGGTCAAATTAATACAAAGGACAAATCAATATGTAAGATGTGACAAAATATAATTCAATGAAGCATTATTCTCTTTACACCTGCAATAACATTTATTCTACCAAATAAAAATAGTTTATGATCCATTAAAAATTTAAATTTGATTTGTTAAATTAATTTCCATATTTTAGACAAAATAGGGTCCTCCAATTTCTTGTTGCATCCATTCCCTAAAATATCATATCAAACTGAACTATTAGTACCAAGTATTTACCGTATATGCCGGCGTATAAGGCGACTTCCACAAGCTTTAAAATTGGTGCCAAAGACGGGGATCGTCTTATACGCCAAGTCGTCTTATACGCCGGAAATACTGGTAGTTTCTGGCATATAAGATGATGTTCTAGGCATGTGACTCGGCGCCAAAGACAGGGGTCATCTTATACGCCGGGTTGCCTTAAACGCCGGCATATACGGTATAATATTTATTTCTACAAACTTTTTTCTGAAATTGCATATACAGTATTGCTAGTCTGAACTGGAATGGCACTTATTCTATTAGTAACCCCCTCATTCTAAAAATGGAGGGAACGGAAAACACTTTTATATACTTTTGATTTTCAATCAACATCCTCTATGCATAATGAAGGATCTCAGGCTTAAATTTATATTACGAGAAAGAGGTATGATTTTGCATTAAAAATAGTTGCTATCCAGTCTTCATAAAATAGGTAACTTGTATCAACATCAATTGTACTCTGTATATTCTATACTTATAAAAGTTTGGTATATTGGAAGGATATCTTTTTTTTCCCTTTTTTCAGATATGGATGTCTGCATGAAATGTCCAGAAAATGAATATCCCAACAATATCCAAAATCAATGTATTCCCAAAGTGTTAACCTATCTTTCTTATAATGAACCTTTGGGAATCCTCTTTGTTACATTGGCTATTGTTTTCTCTTTGATTACAGTCTTCGTGCTTGGAATATTTTGGAGGCACCAAGAGACTCCAATTGTCAAAGCCAATAACTGGAGTCTTACTTGTATCCTCCTCCTTTCCCTTCTTCTCTGCTTCCTCTGCTCCTTCCTCTTCATGGGAAGACCTGAAAAGATGACCTGCCTTCTTCGACAAACAACTTTTGGCATTATCTTCTCAGTGGCCCTTTCATCTGTATTGGCAAAAACCATGACTGTCATTCTGGCATTTATGGCAACCAAACCAGGCTCTGGAATGAGGAAATGGGTAGGGAAAGGACTGGCCAATTCTATTGTCCTTTTGGGTTCCTTCATCCAGGTGGGAATTTGCACTGTTTGGCTGAATACCTCTCCCCCTTTCCCAGATAGAGATAGGCACTCACTGAAGGGAGAAATCATAATGGAATGCAATGAGGGCTCAGTGATCATGTTTTACTGTGTCCTGGGTTACATGGGCTTCCTGGCTAGTGTTAGCTTTAATATTGCTTTCCAAGCCAGGAAGCTGCCCAGTAGTTTCAATGAGGCCAAGTTCATCACTTTCAGCATGTTGGTCTTTTGCAGCGTCTGGCTTTCATTTGTTCCAACCTACCTAAGCACCAAAGGGAAATACATGGTAGCTGTGGAGATCTTCTCTATCTTATCCTCCAGTGCTGGTTTACTGGGGTGTATATTTTTTCCCAAATGCTATATCATTCTATTGAGGCCTGAGATGAATAAGAAGGAACATTTAATAAGGAAAGAAATGTAACTTTGTTTTTGTATTCATATTAAATAATTAAGTGTTTCAGATCAACTCCTCATATGTGGCCAGAAGAAAAACACCTAGATGTGATGGTCTATTTTTTTCTCAGGAGAAATACTAAAGAAATATTGCATAACTATTTTGAATCAAGATTAAAGATTAGTGGTAAAGAAATGATTATTTTGAAAGAGAGCCTTACTAGAAATTTATAGAAAAGAAAGCACTAGTCATTTTGTAATGTTTTGAAAAAAGAATAAGATTCAATTTCATTGTGATAAACTGGAAAGAGTAATTTTCATCTTCCATCAATAAATGTTCAATTTAAATATTTTTCTAAGGCCACAATTTTTATTACAACATGATGATGAAGATAAATTTATTAATAATATTTGGGTTTTGTTGATTCTATGGGCCAGGTCTCTCCACATCTTCCAATTTTGCATTACTTCTTTGAGTTGTTTTGTGCTCTGGCTGGGGGCTGAGCAATGGCTCAATGGTTAAAGATGTTGAGCTTGTCAGCTGGAAAGCTGATAACTCAGTTTTGAGAACTGAGTGCTGAGCAATGGGGTGAGCTCCTATTACTTGTCCTAGCTCCTGCCCATCTAGCAGTTCAAAAGTATTAAAATGTCTTTAATAAATAAGTACTACTTCGGTGAGAAGATAACACTTTTACGTGCACCATGTGCGGGCCACATGACCATGGAGTCAGACAACGATGACTCCCTCAGCTAAGAAACTTAGATGAGCACCTCTTTTAAAAGTTGGACATGATTGGATAGGGGAAACCTTTACCTTCTACTTTATGCTGTGGCTGATGTCAGTTTGATTGAGTCCAGCCAATGTATTCTTTGGTGACCTGGTTTTCTTTTACCAGTAACTGTTCCAAACATAATTGCTTTCTCAAGTGAATTCCTCTGCATGACATGACCAAAACAAATGAGATGGAGTTTTGTGATTTTTGCTTTCTGATTTTTGCTTTCTGGTGTTATGTGTTTCAGTATGTTATGTGTTTCAGTGCATGTAGCATGGATGTGTGTGTGGACAAGAATACCAACCTTGCTATCAAGCAAAATGAAGCCTCTAATAGCGAGTGCCACACAAAGTGCACTAACCAAATAGGTGGTAAGACAATAGGGGAACTCAGGCACCACACAGATTATGTAGAAAGGAAACACAGGGCCACTCACAAAGGACTCAAATGTTTATACACCAATGCACAGAGTATGAACAGCAAACAGGGTGAATTAGAAATTCAGGTTAATGAGGGCAGATACGATATTGTTGCCATTACGGAAACATGGTGGGATGAAACTCACACATGGAACACACAGCTAGAGGGATTTAAATTATTTAAAAGAAACAGACCAAATAAAATAGGAGGTGGAGTTGCTCTCTATATAAGAAATAACTACATCTCCACAGAAATAGAGTACAACAATGATAAAAACTGTCTTGAATGCATTTGGGTCAATATAAAAGGGGGGGGGAATGACATTGCCATAGGTGTATACTACAGACCACCCAAACAAACAGAGGAAATAGATGAACTTTTTGCTAGTCAGCTAACTAAGGTATGTAGGAAGCACATCACAATAGTAATGGGGGACTTTAACTACCCTGACATCAACTGGGAGACAAACTCTGCACCAAGTGGAAGATCAAACTTTATTCCTCTCATCTAGTCCAAAAAAATCAGTGATGCCTGACCCTGCTTGCTTGTTTGCCAATTTTTGTATTTAAGTCACCCAGAATATAATTAATGTCTTTTGGGCTAATTCTTTCAAAGTTTCTTGGACCATGGCATAAAGGCTTTTCTTTTCAAGTTCTGTTGCAGTGGCATTGACTTTTTGAGGCATTGACTTAGATAACTGTGATGTTAAGGGGCTTGGCATGAATTTTGATGGTGATAATTTAATCGTTGACCGTTGGGAAGCTTTCCACGGCTCTAGTAAATTTCTTGCTTAGAATGAACACCACTCCATTTTTTTCTTGGTATCATGTCCAGAATAATAGACAGTGAAATCCTCAGATTGGAAAAAGCCATTGTCCAACCATGTAGCTCACTGACACCAAGGACAGCAGTTTCCAGTCTGATCACCTCTGGCTTGAAAATATCTAATTTACCCTAACTCATTATTCTGACCTATCTAATGTATCTCTGTATAATGAAAATATTTGCTTATGCCACTGCATAAGCAACTGAGATTCCTGTTGTACTATTGTTGGGCATCCTATCTGACATATTTGACACTTTTTCCATGAGTTTATTGCAGAGTAGATTTCTAGTTCTTTCTCCAACCCTCACATTTCAACAGTTGCCCAGGGACAGCAACTGTGATAGTCCTTGTTAACCCGGGCTATGACTAGTTCGGTATCAGATTCTTTCTCTGTTGTCTCAGCATGGTTAATGGTTTTGTGGATATTGTTAGTCTGGCTCCTCAGTAGGGACCTGTCTGGCTTGGGTGACTCTTCATGGTTTACTTTCTGGTGGTATACCTACAGCATAGCTACATGGAGGTAAGTGTGTAGTGGGGTGCCCCAGAGCTCTGTTCTGGGCCCAATGCTCTTCAACATCTTCATCAATGATCTGGACGAGGGGATAGATGGGGAACTCATCAAATTTGCAGACGACACCAAGCTGGCAGGAATAGCCAACACTCCAGAAGATAGACTTAGAATACAGGAGGATCTGGACAGACTTGAACACTGGGAGCTATCTAACAAAATGAAATTCAATGGTGAAAAAAGTAAGGTTCTACATTTAGGCAAGAAAAAACAAACGCAGAAGTATAGTATAGGGGGTACCTTGCTCAACAGTAGTAACTATGAGAGGGATCTCAGAGTCTTAGTGGACAATCATTTAAATATGAGCCAGTAGGGGACTAATATTTATCATATTTATTGTATTATCATATTTGGTGGTCATGTAAAAATATAAAGGCTTTTTGGATCAAGATTTGGTGGAATATTCAAAAAAATTTTAATAGAAGGATAAAATTTACACCACAATTGTTTTTGTTAGGTATTATTGTTGATTGTGATGATAAAGAAATTATTTTAATGTTGAATTTAATTACAGCGGCAAGGCTGTTGATAGGGCAATACTGGAAGAAGGAATTTTTGCCTACTTTAGAGGAATGGTTTCTTAAAGTTTCTTATTTATCTGAAATGGCAAAAATTTCGGCTTATTTGAAAGATCAATAACAAGAGAAATATTTTTTGGTGTGGAAAAGATGGGTGAATTTTATACAGCACAAATATGAGATTAAAAAGTATTGTCTAGCTTTTGAATAATTTATGTTTAAGGTAACGATCGAATTATTGTTTTGTTTTGTTTTTATATATTGGAGTTAAAGTATTTAAAATTTTGTTGTTTTTTTTTGAATGTATTTATAATTGTTTGATGTTTATTTAAGTTGTAAGGTTTTTTTTTAGTTTTTATTAACTCTGTATTCAGCTCTGGGAAGAAGGGGGGAGGATATGGGTGGGAGGGGGGGTGGGAGAGGGGGATTATTTTATTGTAAAACTGTAAAAATTTTCAATAAAAAAAATGAGCCAGTAGTATGCTGCAACTGCCAAAAAAGCCAACACAGTGCTAGGCTGCATTAACAGAGAGATAGAACCAAGATCACGTGAAGTGTTAATACCACTTTACAATGCCTTGGTAAGGCCACACTTGGAATACTGCATCCAGTTTTGGTGGACAGTTTTTACATCACCACGATGTAAAAAAAGATGTTGAGACTCTAGAAAGAGTACAGAGAAGAGCAACAAAGATGATTAGGGGACTGTAAGCTAAAACATATAAGGAACGGTTGTTGGAATTGGGTATGTCTAGTTTAACAAAGAGAAGGACGAGGGGGGACATGATAGCTGTGTTCCAATATCTCAGGGGCTGCCACAAAGAAGAGGGAATCAAGCTATTTTCCAAAGTGCTTGAAGGCAGGACAAGAAGTAATGGGTGGAAACTAACCAAGAGAAGCAACCTAGAACTAAGGAGAAACTTCCTGAAAGTTAGAACAATTAACCAGTGGAACAACCTGCCTCCAGAAGCGGTGAATGTTCCAACACTGGAAGTTTTTAAGAAGAAACTGGACAGCCATTTGTCCAAAATGGTATAGAGTTTCCTGCCTGAGCAGTGGGTTGGACTAGATGACCTCCAAGGTCCCTTCCATCATCATCATCATCATCATCATCATCATCATCATCATCATCATTATTATTATTATTATTATTATTATTATTATTATTATTATTATTATTATTATTATGGATCATCGCACAGTGAGCCAGATGTTCAGACTGGATTTGGCATTTTGTCTACCTATCGAGTCCTTACCCAGGACCTGGGATAGGCAGATGTGGATGTTTAATGGTATTACAGATATCGTCGCAGGATGGAAGCAGTTCCTAGTAAAGCCGCCTTTTGCAATTGACTAATAGCGAATTTGTCAATGCCAATGGTGTTCAAGTGGTGCTCCAGTGTTTTGGGATTGCACCTAAGGAGCCTATTACTATTGGTACTACCCTTGCTTGCTTTTGCCACAGTCTTTCTATTTTTATTTGTAGGTCTTTGTATTTTGTTATCTTCTCCAGTTCTTTCTCTTCTATTCTGCTATCTCCAGGCACTGCCACGTCCACTATCCAGACTTTTTTGTCTTTCTTATCGACCATTGTTAAGTCTGGGGTGTTATGTTGCAGATGCTTGTCTGTTTGAATTCTGAAGTGCCAGAGCAGTTTAATTTTATCATTTTCTATGACTTTCTCTATTTTATGATCCCACCAGTTTTGGCTTACAGGCAAATGATATTTTTTGCAGATCTTCCAATGCACCATTGTTGCTACTTTGTCATGCCACTGCTTGTAGTCAGTCCGTGCAATCTTCTTGCAGCAACTTACCAGGTGGTCCACTGTTTCTTCAGCTTCTTTGCATAGGCGGCACTTACTGTCTGTTGCTGTCTTCTCAATTTTGACTTTATATGCATTTGTCCTTAAGGCTTGGTCTTGTGCAGCCAGAATTAGTCCCTCGGTCTCTTTCTTCAATTTTCCTGCTCTTAGCCATTGCCAGGTTTTTTTATTATCTGCTTTCCCAGCTATTTTTTTAATGTATTGGCCATGTAGTGCTTTGTCTTCCCATGCTTCTATTCTGTTCTTCATTTGGTCTTTCTTGTAGGCCAGTTTGGTCTCTCCAGTAGTCAGTAAGCCTTCCTGATATACTAATTTCAGTGCATCTTCATCATTGTTCTTCAGATATTCTTCCAAAGCCATTTTTTCTTCTTCAACCATCTGATGTACTTGTAGCATTCCACACCCACCTATTTGCCTTGGTAGATAAAGTCTGTCAATGTCACTGAGTGGATGAAGAGGATGATGATGATGATGACTATTATTATTATTATTATTATTACTCACAACCTTATCAGAACCCAGAAGTCGCTCCCCTGCATCAAGGGGATATCTACATGGAGGGGATTACCACATATTGTGGTAATCAGGCAAGCTTCCCAAAAAATTTCTGTTTTAGTAGATGGAGAATTTTTGGGCAAAAATGGTTGTGCAAGAGAATATGTATTTTATGAGAAAGAGCAATTGTTTTCAAGATTAGATATGGTATGGACTTCAAAAGACTTCTGAAGGCAAGCTATTCCACTGATTATTTATTCCTATAGTCAGGAAATTTTGCCTTAGTTCAATGATCTTTAATGATCTTCCACCAAAAACTTCTTATCCTGCCCTCAAATGCTTTGGAGAATAACTTGCCTCTCTCTTCATTGTGACTCCCCCTCAACTACAAGAAGGCAATCATATCACCCCTAGTCCTTTTCTTTAGAGTACATACTGTTCATCATATGATTTATTCTCCAGACCCCTTATCATCTTTATTACTCTTCATTGCATTCTTTTTAAGATGAGAACATTTTTTGTACTGTGTGACCAGGAGTGGATACAGTATTCCAAGTGTGGTCTTACTTGTGCAATATAAAGCAGGACCATCGACTATCCCTCTGTTGATGCAATCTAGGGCTATGTTAGCTTCTTTGGCAGCTGTAGCACACATCTGGCTCATATTTAATTGGTGGTGTACTGGAACACCTATTTCTCTCACACAGTTGCTTTTATTGAGTCAGATACCACCTATTCTATATCTGTGCATTTGGTATATCTTTCTCAAGTATAAAACATTACTTTTGTAACCGCTGAATTGCATTTTGCTAGATAGAACCCAGTGTTCAACTCTGCTCAAAGTGGTTCTGAATCTTGAGTCTATCATCTAAAGTGTTAGCTAGTCCCCCATCGGGGTGTTTTCTGCAGATTTGATGAGCTTTCCTTCTATCCCCCATCTAGGTTACTTATCAAGAGGTTGATGTGTACGGGGCTAAAACAGAACCTTAATGTACTGCTATGATTTTAAGGCAATTATGGATTGTTATATTATTCAAACTAACTATATGAAAACATGGAATGAAATTAAAGATAGGTGAAGGTGAAATAAACTACAAGTGTTGTTGCTGGAAAGAATTGCTGTAATAAAAATGAATGTTTTGCTTAGTACACTGTTTAGTTTTAATCATTGCTATCTATTTATTCTATCAGAAAGCAGACTTTATATTTCTCAGGAAATTTGATGAAAAAAAGCATCATGACTCTTTCATGGCATCAAAAATCAAAGCAAATTACAGACTTTAAAAACACACTTCTAGGCCCATTTCTCAGGAGAAATTTACAAAATATTGAAAGTTGGAGAGCACTTGTTTATTTTCCCATTTTCAAAATTACAGGTTCCTTCTTTAGCATTGCTGATGATATTAAAGTCCTTCACTTTTTCAGAAAGTCAGACTTATAATAGGAGTGCTTCTTCTTCTCTTTAACATAACATTTTGGAATGGTATATAGAACTATATATAACTGTCTTTTCAAACTTTTCTATTTTAATCCTCATATCATATTACAAGCTATCTTGTAGTTTATATAATTATTTTCTTTATTATTTTTCTTCCCCAGCCCCATGTTTTTAAAATGACTCAACAATGGGAAGATGTGAACTCTCTCCCCTTGTACTGATTGCTTAGATAACGTTCAGATAAAAAAAATATGTTTACTTGTGGAGATGTCATTGAATAGAAATACACAAATGGAAGCTTTAGTGAATGTAAGACATGGTGTTGATACAGAATTTTATTAATTTAATTGAAATACAATGAGGAAAATCATCCCAATTACTTTTGTTCCAAGAAATAAATGAAGATCACGAAGTAATTTCTTAAATACAAAGCTTTTTTTTCAAGTAACATTCATTCAAGGTGCATGAAAACATTAAAACAGCTGAAGCAAAGGCCAACTACAGACCAAAAACTCACATTAAAACAAAAAAAGGAATCTGTTTGGCAAAAATATTCCATTAATGTTGCAAATGTTTTAATAATATATATATATATATATATATATATATATATATATATATATATATATATATATATATATATATATATATATATATATGCCATGGAGTTTAGCAATGTAGTGATAAGATATTTTTCTGCATAAGAACTGCTCTCTTTTGCAGGATGGAAATTGTCCACAATAGGATGGGGGGTGATAACAATGATGCTCCTTGTGTGATGACCCACTTCCTATACCCCAGGGGTGTCAAATTGCCAGCCTGCGGGCCGGACGTGTCACAAGGAAACCGCGCCCACCCCATTGCTGGCAATGGGAAAAAACTCCCATATATCGCACGACATCACGTGACATCATGAGTTTGACATGTCTGCTATATGTCATCACTTTACTCAGCCAGGAAATATTATCATTGGGGCAATAATCTCTCAAGTCTTTGTTTTTCACAACAGCCCTTCCTTCACAGAAGATCCCTCTCGGATGTTGATCAATGAAGTGATGTAAGGAATTCTATTTTTTTCTCTTCAGACTAGTAAATGCAAAATAATTGAGGGGAAAAAGAATCAACCAACAATATTATAAAGTGAAAAGTCTTTGAAAATTTCCATATCCTTAATGTCATTGGGAATTTTTTGTTAATTAGTTTTCTCTCCCTTTGAAGTGTAAGAAATTGGCTACTGAATAGAAAACTCCATGTGGCTTCACACAGTGTATCAAATCCATGTGCAATTCTTAGGATTTTCCCTTAGAGGTTTTCTGAATGTAGCCTTGGTAATCCATAAATCATTTGTAATAGTTTAGGATAATTTGTCAAATTGCCAATTATAGGTGATTGAGCAAATCATAGCTATGATTTCTACTCCAACAATATGTGAATTTGTTTGTATTCACAGTAATGAGTGAAATAAGTTACTGTAAAATACTTAACATTCTCTGATCCAGGGAAAGGAGGTTTTATAATAAGGCCAGGTATTACATAAAAGAATAACTTTTTAAAGTAGATTCAAAGCACTCTTCTGCCAATGATCCACTATTTATTTCTTTCCAAAGATAAACTATTTCAGGTGATTAAAAAGAAACCAAATTTTGTCCTCTTTGGACATCTCAAGGCAAGGACAAGCATCCCAATACCTCTTTAAGGATAAAGGACAGTGGATGCTTCAGGATCTCCTCCACATCTTCCTGCTGGCTTTCATCATCTACAGCTCTGAGGTAGTTGCCTCCTAGTGAACCATAGAGCTTGTTGTATGGACTTCTTTGAGCTTCATGGTCTACTACATTATAGCTTTGAGTACAGGTGAACTAAAGAAGGCTGGTCTTATGCTATTTACTTAAATTTCTATGGTTTGTTTTTTTTTGCAGTTCTGTGCTTAAGTTGTATCAGTACATCCTTGCTTTGGTGTTTGCTGTCAAGGAGATCAGTAGGAATCCTGAGCTCTTGCCGAATATCACATTGGGCTTCCATATTCTGAACAACTACATTATTGCAAGGATAAGCTATAAGGCAATGTTGAGCTTACTTTCTACACAGCAGACGTTTGTTCCCAACTTTACCTGTGATTTTAAAAAATCTTTATTGCTGACATTGGAGGATGTTTGACTGAGACCTCATCCATCATGGCCAATGTTCTTGCCAATTACAAGATTCCACAGGTAGGATCTTGAGATGACTCTGTAGAAATCCCACATTTCTTTAAATCCTTCAATTTTATAGTGCCTTTAGGTTATTTTTCAGAGTTGATTTTGCAGAGAATCCAGAAAGAATCCAGGAGAACATTATATTTTATATTAAATTATTGTAAATATCAATAAACTAGAGGTATGATCAAAATTTTATAAACTGAAGATTTTTTGTAGTATCCCCCAAATATTGAAGATTGGTAAACACTTGTTGGCATTTCAGCTGATGGTGCCACTGCAGAAAGTAGTCTTTTTTACTTGCTGCTTGACTGGCATTTAGTTTCAAAGTGGATGTGCTTGAGTGCTGATTTCTGCCTTAATGATGAAAATGAATCACATACTCAGGTAATGTGATTTGACTTTGACTGCCTATTAATCATTTCCAGTGTAAATCAGGAAAATAAAGTATTGTGTGCTGGAGATGAGAACATAGAAAGCTTGCCAAATACATTATTTGAAATGATTGGTCACAGTTACAACATTTACAATGCTGTCTATATTGTGGCTCATTCCTTGTATGTTTTAATCAAATCCAGATCCAGACATAGACATTTAATGGGAAGAGAGCAATTAATGTTTCATAATTTAAAACTATGGCAAGTACTTTATTGTATTTCAGATACACACATGTTGTTTTTTTCAATTAGATCATATTTCCCTGATCCTTAATAATGCTATTGGCAATGATATTACATAGCATTATTATCCCAATGAATCTGTAGAATAGAATATGACTTCTTCCTATGTTAAAGAAAAATTGTTAAATTAATAGTTGTATTGTATTGATTGGTTCAAAATTGGGAAAGGAGTCTGGCAAGGGTGTATTCTGTTGCCCTGCCTATTTAACTTATGTGCAGAGCACATCATGAAAAAGGCAGGGCTAGATGAATCAAAAGTTGGAATTAAGATTGCCAGGAGAAATATCAGTAACCTAAGATATGCAGATAATACCACTCTAATGGCAGAAAGTGAAGAGGAACTAAAGAGCCTCTTGATGTGGGTGAAGAAGGAGAGTGCAAATGTTGGCTTGAAACTCAACATTAAGAAAACCAAGATCATGGCATCTGGCCTTTTCAATTCCTGGCAAATAGATGGGGAAGAAATGGAGGTAGTGACAGATCACCACAGATGGGGAATGCAGCCAAGAAATTAAAAGACGCTTTCTCCTGGGCAGGAAAGCTATGGCAAATCTAGACAGCATACTAAAAAGCAGAGACATCACCTTGCCAGCAAAAGTACATATAGTCAAGGCCATGATTTTCCCAGTTGCAATGTATGGCTGTGAAAGTTGGACCATAAGAAAGGCTGAGCACCAAAGAATTGAGGTCTTTGAACTATGGTGCAGGAGAAGACTCCTGAGAGTCCCCTGGACTGCAAGGCAATCAAATTGGTCAGTCCTAGAGGAGATCAACCCTGACTGCTCTTTAGAAGGCCAGATCCTGAAGTTGAAACTCAAGTACTTTGACTCACTGGAGAAGAGTCTAATGCTGGGAAAGATTGAGGGCAATAGAAGAAGGGTACGACAGAGAATGAGGTGGCTGGATGGAGTCACTGAAGCAGTAGGCATGAGCTTAAATGGACTCCAGAAGATGGTTGTTGTTAATTGCGAAGTCGTGTCTGACCCATCGCGACCCCATGGAAAACGTTCCTCCAGGTCTTCCTGTCCTCTACCATCTTCTGGAGTCCATTTAAGTTCTCACCTACTGCTTCAGTGACTCCATCCAGCCATCTCATTCTCTGTCGTCCCTTCTTCTATTGCCCTCAATCTTTCCCAGCATTAGGCCCTTTTCCAGTGAGTCCTTCCTTCTCATTAGGTGGCCAAAGTCCAGAAGATGGTAGAGGACAGGAAGGCCTGGAGGACCACATGATGTCTTGACCTATGATTAAAATGACTGGTCATAAGTCTTCAACTATCTGTAGTGCCACTTTCATGCTACTTATGCAAAAAAATTCTGGTACAAAGAGATCCTTGACATCAATGTTTGCATTTTTTCAATTTTCAGAAACAATAGTAGGAGTAATAAAAGACATCTTTCAGATCCTGTGAAAACCTGACTTGTTGCTAATTTCCTCCCATTAAATGAAGTTTTCTAATTTTCCTTTCCTTTTTCTTCATCACAGTTGTGGGTTCCTTGTTTGGGAAAGCTCTATTGATGCAGGCATATTATTTCTTGATTCTCTCATATATATTTTTGTTAAGGTACTGCTGCTTTCTTTGTGCAATGACCACTGTTATGGAGGCTCAAGTAAAAGAAAGAAGGAAGGAGAGAAATTTTGCTGCTATGATTGTGCATCATGTTCAGAAGGGGAGATCTCTGACAAAATTGGTAGGACAAAAAGTGGTTAGGACATTGGCTAACTGTTCAGCAAAAATCCAGTCAAATGCCCTTATAGTATATTTAAATATAATTTCCTATTTTTTCATATATGGATTCATGCGTTAAACATCCAGGAAATCAGTATCCCAACAAAATCCAAAATCAATGTATTCCCAAATATTGCTAGTCCTACTTGGGATCACAATAATGTACATAAAGAGTCTATTAATAACCATCTCATTAAAAAAATAGAAGAGAATACATTTTCCTTTGCTTCATAGTTTTAGTAAATTCTTCTCCCTCTCTGGGTATAATAAAGATTTCAGCTTTAAGTTATGAGATTCCTGCAAATAGTTCTTTTTAAAATGAGAATTCCTATTCTATGTTCACAAAACGACCAATGACTAACAATATCAGTTGTGCTCCAGAGATGCTTTTTTAGAAGACAATTTGTTTTTTTACTTTGAGGATGTTTCCCTTCTCATCCAAGAAGCTTCTTCAGCTCTGATTGGCATTCGATTAGAGCTGAAAAAGCTTCTTGGATGAGAAGATAAACCTCTTCAAAGAAAAACAAGAAAGTCCAGTTGCCTTGTGAAAAAGAATCTTTGAGTCAAATGTGACCTAGATGACTAAGAATCTCCTAAGACATCAGTTGTGCTCTATATATTTTATATTGATAAATTATTGTTATTTGTATATGTATGTTTGAAAGATATCTTCTTTTTTTCTTTTTCCAGATATAGATACCTGCATAAAATGTCCAGAAAATCAGTATCCCAATAATATTCAGACTCAATGTATTCCCAAAGTGTTCACCCATCTCTCTTATAACGATCCTTTGGGAATCTTCTTTGTTACAATGGCTATTGTTTTCTCTTTGATTACAATCCTTGTGGCTGAAATCTTTTGGATGCATCGAGCGACTCCAATTGTCAAAGCCAATAACTGGAGCCTCACTTGTATCCTCCTCTTCTCCCTTCTTTTTTTTTGTAATATGTTTTATTGATTTTTTAAAAACATAAATCACTTAATAATTGGTGAACAATGTGTTGTCTGGGTTTACATTTATAAAACAAGCACTAACAATTGATTTCCATAATTCATAATCCACATAATAGTTTTAGTTGATTTCTTTTTTTCCCCACAATATCCTCTTTTGCAAACATTGAGTTAATACAATTCTTATTGTTTCGATAGATAACAATTAAATATATAATTTCCCCCCAATATTCCTAAAAATAATAATCTCATCAATATAATATTTCTTTTCTATCCGATCATTCTGGTTGCCTTATCATAGATCCTGTTACAGTCCTTATTTCAATTTGTTTCTCCCACCAAATTCTAGATATTCTTACTGGTTAAGATTTTCTCAAAAATTAATTACATTTAAAAATTTGACTCACACTTTTACATTTCCTAAGAAATAGATAAACAGTGAAAAAGAAAAAAAGAAGAGCAAGAGTAAAGAAACATAAAAAATAACATACTACTTAAAATATATATCCCTCCTAAGCTAATATATATTTGTTCCCAAGATTTCTTTTTCTTTGTTAATCATAATTAAAAATATGTTTAATCTTTAAATATTCCAATTAATACATTTAATCATCTAATCCAGGGCTTTTCAACCTTTTCAAAGATTGTACCACTTTTAGGATATGGCAATATTCGAATACACCAGTCGCCTAGCAGGTGTGCATGGCCTGCTCGACACCACTCACTGACATAGCTGACTCAAAACAGAACAGAACAAGTCGCATTGGCTAACTCGATGTGGGGACAACTTGGTGCCTTACAAATTTCTTGCCTCCCCAAGTTGCTAGCAGCCAAGTGTATGCACGTGTGCACACATGCACACACAGCGCATTCCAGGCTTGGAGACTTTTATCCATAGAGCAGGGGTAGGCAACCAAAAACACTCAAAGAGCCACTTAGACCAGTTTCCCACTGAAAACAAAACACTGGGAGCTGCAAAAGGAAGGAAGGAAAAAAGAGAAAGAAAGAAAACAGGAAGAAAAGGAAGGAAGGAAGGAAGAAAAAAGAAAAAGAAAGAAAACAGGGAGGAAAGGCAGGAAGGAAAGAAAAAGAGAAAGAAAGAAAACAGGAAAAAAAGGCAGGAAGGAAGGAAAAAGAGAAAGAAAGAAAACAGGAAGAAAAGGAAGGAAGGAAGATATAACCTTCAGCAAAGCAGTCTCCCTGCAAAAGAAACACAAGAAACTCTTATGTGAGCAGACACGTGAGCAGCTCCCCTCTCAGCCTGCTTGCAAAAACCTCACCCTGCCTTAATTGCAGGCGAAACCTGCTGAAAGCCTAACCAGCCTGTGCAGAAACTCCAGCCCAGCTTCTTTCCACCCTTTTAGCTGGACAACCTTTCAAATCAGCCTTTTGTGTTTATTTATTTTGGGGGGGGGGAAATCTGCAAGCATGCCAACTGGGGCTGGAGAAGAGCGGCCAGCTCACCAGCCGATCCAGGCTGAGCCCCTCCTCCCAGCAAGCGCACCGGCCGGGTAACACCCAGGCTACTTTTGAAACAGAAAGCATCTGCTTTTGAAACAAAAAGAATCAGGCAAAGTGAAATGGCTTGCCTTCACGCCGGTAG